GCGATTCTCCTGTCTCAGCCTCCTGAGTAGCTGGGATTATAGGCATGTGCCATCTCATCTGACCAATTTTGTATTTTTAGCAGACACGGGGGTTCCTCCATGTTGGTTAGGCTGGGCTCAAACTCCCGACCTCAGGCGATCCGCTCGCCTCGGCCTCCCAAAGTGCTGGGATGACAGGGGTGAGCCACCATGCTCGGCCAGTTCAAGGTTTCTTTACTGTCTCTGTTGACTGGATACTGAATCTATAAAGGACAGCTTAGAAAGTGAAGAATCAGAATTCATTATTTCTAACTACTTCACCTAAGATTTGAAAGGAAAAAATCCCTTCTATAAATTACAGTTGGCCCTCCCTATCCATGGGTTCCACACTCATAAATTCAACTGATCTCAGATCAAAATTATTTGAAAAACCTTTAAGACAACAATAAAAACAATACAGAGGTAAAAAACAGCACAATAAACAACCATTTACATAGCATTTATATATATTACTAGGTATTATAGGTAATTTAGAGATGATTTGAAGTATACAGGAGATGCAAGGTTATATACAGATTCTACACCATTTTATATCAGGGACATGAGCACCTGCAGATTTTGGGGTTTAAGGGGTCCTAGAATTGATTCCCTGTGGATACCGAGAGATGACTGGACGTCCATTCTCCATGCTACATATTTTCCTTTTAATTATTGTTGCTGTTTTGGTTTTCCTGAAAAATGTAACATGTTTTAAACTTCTCTATATTATAAATCTCATTGTAAAAGTGTTGAATTAAGGAAGTCTGCCAGCTACTTTTGTTTTCTCTGCTTCTTTCCCCGCATTGGACTGCTTTGGTGAAAGTGAATAATATTACCTTACCATGTAAAGCATGGTTAATGGCTTTAAAAGAATTCCCCAGCAACTGAATAATGGGCTGCCAGAAATATTCTTGGTGCCAAAGGATCTGGATATGTCTGTTCCATTTATTGTGTGTTTCTTGTTTCATCGTGACTAACTGCTCACAAAAGACATAAAAATCCAAACCTCTAGGGTTTGTGGAGTTTGAGGGCAGAAACCATATTTTAATATATCTAGTCTCAAACCTAGCATATTAAGATGGTTAGGGAAGTAACTGACAAAAATGATGAGCCTGTGGTATGTCAGATGCTGAAATTATTAATGAAGTTGATTTCTGGTGAATAGAAAGTAGTTCTGCCACCACTGTTGTGCCTGGTTGAGTGGCCTAATGTTTATTCTCAGGAGTACTGAATGTCTTGCACCAATGAATATCTTTTGGCTTGTCCTGCCTGTTTGAATAAGTTTACATTTCTCGGAAATAGGAAGGTGGGTTTATTTTTAAATTAAAAATCCCTGTTAAAAAAGCCTGACAATGTAGTATAGCAAAATCATTTACATTAAAATATTTACCTAAATAATAAATTGAACGTATTAAGAAAAAAAACTGAACCCATTAAAAATTTAAAAAATATAGGAATAATACTGAAAAGATCTGAGAAAACAATGGAAATGCAGAAAATGTAAAAGGTGCTTTGTTTCTTCCGTGAAACAAGAGACGTCAAGACGAACAACATCTCAACCTCCTCACCACCCAGCCCATCCCTCACCCTGGGGACCATCCACGCTTGCCCTGTTCTTGGCCATCTGGTTCTCAGTTTGGTAGGAGACTCTCATCTCTCCCACCTCATAGTCTAGGCAGGCAACCGCCAGCAGCCTTGAGTACACTGTGGCTTCCACAGGTTATGTATTCTCTGCCAGTGTCTTAATTGCTAGGATTTCGGGGGCAGGATAATTGTCTGAGAATTACACATGGTACACATGTACCAAAATATCACACTGTTCCCATAAATATGTGCAAGTATTATGTGTGAATTAAAAATAACAATATGTTTAAAAGAATTCCTGAGAGAGGGATTCTTTATTGTTTTGCATGTGACTCACAGGACAGAAGACATTCACATGGGACCCACTCCCCTGGGCCAGGGGCCAAGAGAAATTCCTGGGCTGGTTAGCTGAAAGTCTGTTTTTTTTTT